CACGTGCCGATATGGCGCTGAGGCGGACGAGTTTGGGCACCACGGTTTGGTTTGTCGCCTGGGTGGGGGCCGTCAACTACGTCACTCAGCGCTAAACGATTACATTTGTCGGCTCTTCTCCAAGGCTTCAATCCCGGTTCTCAAGGAACCATCCGGCATTTCTGCGCATGATGGTAGGCGACCGGACGGATGCACGCTAATACCTTGGAGAGCCGGCAGATGTTTGGCGTGGGATGTTACGGTCCCTGGCACCCTCGCCGAACGATACGTAAACCTGACAATTAAAGAATGCGGTTTGGCCGCGGCCAGGGCAGCGGACGAGAAAATGAAAAAATATGGGAATGCCCTCCCCTCGATGGAATTCTTGCCAATATGCATCGAGGTTCTCGGCCCGATGGACCCCAACACCCTTAAATTTTTTAAGGAAATAGGCAAAATGATCAGTGTCAGATCAGGTGACAGCAGGGAACTGTTTTTTGCAACCAACCACATTTCGTGCTTGTTGCAGCGGTTCCTGCGTGTCTGTGTGCTTGAAAATATCCAACTGAATGCCGACATGTGCAATTAACGACAAATCAAAGTGTTAATCCATTTGTTACTTGATGTTTGACGGTTCAGTGTCACTCATCATGTTTTGGTTTTAACATACATACATACATACATACATACATACATACATACATACATACATACATACATACATACATACATACATACATACATACATACATACATACATACATACATACATACATAAATACATACACACAGACAAACAAACGTACAAAACATTCAGTATGGTAATTGTTGTTCGGCGCACGTTATAGGTGGCTGGCTGTGGCTACCACTTCACATCACTGAAGAGAATGTTTGCCAAGCTCACTTTATAAACTCTTTCCACTTTTATATTCCTTATAAAAATATGTGAGTGACACTCAACATCACCATTATCGTTATCATAATCGTCATAATCTTATCATCAGCATCATCATCGATATCATTATCATCATCATCTTCATTTTCCCATCATCACTATCAATGTCATCATCATCATCATCATTTTATCATCATCATCACCACCACCACCATCATCGATTTCATCATTATACTATCATCCTTCGAAGATATATATCACCAATATATCATAATAATGATAGTAGTCATCTTTGATACCATCTGTATCCTCTTATTATCAACATAACCATCATTGCAATATCATCAATTTCGTTATCCTCTCATCTGCCATTAACACCGTCATTTCCACCATCATCATCATCATCGTTAACATTATCATCATCATCATCATCAACTTCATCATCATCATCATCATCATCATCATCATCATCATCATTACCTTCGTTAACATTGTTATAATAACACTACCATCATCATCATCATCTTCTTCATCATCATTATCATCCTCACCATCATCATCTTATTCATCGTCACCATGATCATCATCTTCTTCTTCATCATCATCATCTTCTTTACCATCACCATCGTTTACATTATTATAATAGCGTATTCATCATCATTATTTTTCTTATCATATGAATCAAGACGATGATGTTGATGAGGATGATGATAATGATGATGATGTTAATGATGATGATGATGATGATGATTTTGCTCTGCAAAATTGAAAAATAAATCAGATAATATTTTATAATTAACCGAAACACACAGGCAAACAAACAAATAATAAAATAAATAAATATTTGAAATGTAATTCAAAATCATATTACAATTGTTATTATTATCATCGTTATTCGAGAAAAAAATCCTCGTACTACAAAAATAAACAAATTAAAAATGCTAAAAAATATTAAAAATAATCATAGTTTTCAGTATATGTGTGTGTATTATATGTATGTGTGTGTGAGTGTGTGTGTGTGTGGGTATGTATGTGTGTGTGAGTGTGGGGTCTGTGTGTGGTGTGTGTGTGCGTATGTAAGTGTGTGATTGATGTGTGTCTGTGTGTAAATGTGTGTGTGGTGTGTGTCTGTGTGTATGAGTGCGTGTATGTGTGTGTGATCTTTGTTATTATTCGTTAATTTTTGAAGTATCTTCGTATCGACATTCACCCTGGCGATTCAATCAATCAGCAACTATTATGCTATTTTGATCAGGATCGCGAAATTATTTACAAAGCCACGTCAGACAGCCTTGGTTCATTCATTTCGTTTAGTCGGTCATTCACTTTGTTTTATTTGCAACACGACAAGCTTTCTAAAATTTATTATTTTGAAATTTTATGAATTCTTTGTTTGAACGTCTGTTTGTTGAACCGTTTATTTTGTTTATTTGCATTTGAGCATTTTATTTAGGGAACATTTTTTTCAGCAGTTTAGTTTTTGTCATTTTAAAGTTTTACTAATCTATTTTTCATGCATTCATTCATTCATTCATTCATTCATTCATGCATTCATTCATTAGTTCATTCATTCATTCATTCATTCATTCATTCATTGGTTCGTTCATTCATTCATTCAATCACTAACTCCTGTCCGTTGGAACATGAAATCCTTCAGGAAACCTCTGAGCTCATTCGAGTCCAAATAACCACTGGAGTCCTGTTTATTGTCACGATGATGATGATGATGATAAAATGATGATGATGGTGATGATTGTGATGATGGTAATGATGAAAAGAGCAGACAAGATAATAAAAATATTTCATATTGAAATAAATCATCAGACGCATTGTATAGGAAGATGGATGTTGCCGTAGAATTCGGCCACCCTTCCAACACTTAACAATTCAAGGACAATAAATTTTAACACTGGCAATCTTCAGAGCTATATAGAACTTTTTAACATTGTATAAACATCTGTAACGGCTGTAAAAAAAACACCTCGTTTTGAAACGTTTTCTAAAAATTGTTTGATGTTGGCCTCAGATCGGCTTAACATGGTAATCGCTCTGTGAGTGATGTCTACAATTTTGAATCTATTGATATTTCTGAAATGCTTCAAAATTACAAGTTGTGATGACGTCATGTCTCGACTCAAAGATTTAACTTATTAAATAACGTCAATGTCAACTGAATCAGGAAGTATAAAATGAAGATTTGCGTTAAAAAATTCATGATTGCTAAAAGTGAAAATATTAAAAATGATGAAAGTATGTTATTCAAAAGATTTGTTCTGTCGGTACTTATTTGAATTTTTAAAGCTCGAAGTGAAACCGTGCCTACAAAAAGTCATGTCGTTCAATGGAAAGTGTTCAAGCGGGACAAATGTGCATGTTACAAACGAGAGTTGCCAACAAACTGAGGAAATGTCCATCATAGTTTGTACGTAGAAAGGATCAATAAACAACATTTCCAAGCTAAATATTAATTTAAAAATAGAATCGGCACAACATGAACAAGTCAACAGATCCCGTGGTTCAAAAGTCATATTTTAATAATCATTGGCACCATCATGAGATACTCAGAAAAAGTATGTATAGTATATGTCTATTAAACCGGGTTTAAATTTATAAAAAATCCACATCAGGTCTGCACTGCTGTATGAATGAAAAATTTGCACATTTGGAAGTGGCAGTTGCTGGATTCATTTGGAAGCAAATGCTGAACACGAGTTGATACGATCCAGCTCAAAAAATAAAAGCTTTCCATTCAACGTCCGCATCCAGTTTTACATAAAAAGAAATAGAGACAAAAAAATGAAGTTCGATAATGAGCAGAGCAACTAATGCAGCCCTGTTGACTTTACGTATTAAACATTAGTTACTCTATTTGCCTACCGACCATCGTCGTCCAATCTATCGCTACTATTTCTAAACGTTACTAAAGCTGCGATCTTGTTACTGGAGTTTGTATTGAAATCTTCGACAGCGTGATGCTTGTCGTCCTCAGTATTTTTACTAACATCGCAAGAACTATAGTGCACAAAATTCAGAAAAAGTTTATTAATCAAGTGGCCATCGTCATCAGTTTGCATGAGTTCGCTCATTTATGGCATTAAGTATTAATTACATTAAAATTGGAAGTTGCTGTTGGGTATCGTTGTTTTGAAGTTTAATGCTTTTGAGAAACTCGTTTGCAAAAATTCATAGTGAAAATTTAATAAAACTGTTGTTATACAAATTCATCATGCAGATAGGCCTTATTTCGATTTTTCACAAATCATCTTCAGTGCAGCTTTGGTTTACATAGTTTCTTTTGGTTTACATAGTTTCTTTTTCTAAGTGAGTTACTTAGTTGGTGTCATATTCTTTATCTTTTTTGTTGTTGTTATTTCTTTGTTCTTCAATGTTATTAGAGTTATTATTAAGGAGTCGAGTTGGTAATGATGCACTTGAAGTGTTAACTCAAATCCAACAAAGAGTGATTACATCATTACCAGCTCGATGCCTAATACTAATTCTAATAACCGTGAAGGACAAAGAAGTGACATCAACAAAGAAGATTAAGAATACGACTTCAACTAAGTAACTCAATTTGCCAAGTAACTAACTGCTTTGACTAAAGAAACTATATAAACAACAACAACAACAACAACACTCATCGGCAACAAATCCAGGAAACATAAATGTTGCAGGGACAGAAATGAGAAGTGACATCTACTCACTTTGTCATAATGCGTCCAAATTCGCATGAAATCAACGGCATGGAGCTGAAAAAAGTGTGATTGAAGGTATTGCGTGTGAATTTTTGTTGTAGTAGTTGTTGTCGTGTTTGTAGTTGTAGTTTTTGTTGTTGTTGTGTTTGTAGTTGCGGTTGTTTTTGCTGTATGTATGTATTTTGGTGAAACCGTGTTGCGTTCATGTGTTATTGTCATAGTTACTATCATCTTTATATCATCATCATTATCATCATTCTATTCCCATTATCATCATCGTCGTCATCATCATCATCGTCATCATCATCGTCATCATCATCATCATCAACGTATGCCTACTCACCTTTGAAACTCCCAAAAATTTTGCCAGGAAGTTCTGTGGATGTAAATGGAAGATTTCATGTTTGACATCATGTATTTCAAATATATGTACGTGCGCGTTAGTATATCATTCTCATCCATCATCAACAACAACAACAGCAACAACAACAACAAAAACAACAGCAACAACAACAACATCAGTAACTCATCACATTTTTACGAAAAACACAGCAAACAGATAGCTGCATAAGTTATGGTAGAATGCAATTCAAATCATTCAAACCAAGATTAGTAGATGCAAGTCGGAATGAATTTTGTTGGATCAGATTCTAATGTAGCACATTTTTCAAACTTCTCCCAAAATATCGCATAACAAGTTTTTTTCCCAAGTTATACACGTTTCTATACTTCACCCAAAATTTTCAACGATAATTTTTTGTGTGTAATTTGCTGAACTGTTGTACGTGGTCTTTTATTAAAACAGAAGATTATCCACAAACCGTCTTATTTGTTGTTAGATTTTATAAAAACTGAAAATTAGTTTACCAGATAAAATATAAATGTTATCAATAATAAATGATTGTTGAAAAGTATATGAATGGAGAAAATCTTTAGTTAACGTAACAAAAACAAATGAAAATAACAATGATCAATGAACTGCATTATATATGAATTATAAAAGGATTATAGATGAATCATAGATAAATCGTAAATGAATGTTATAACCAAGACCAATAAATTTTAGGTTTGGACTAGCTAATGTTTATTAAGTTCGTTAATTTATTTATTTAGCTCGTTATTTATTAAGCATTAAACTAATAGAATACACCATCAACTTTTCTAAACAACGTTTTTAAATTGAAATAAATTTATGAATGCACTAAATTTTTGTTTAAACGACGATCGGTCATCTTACTTAAACCTTAAATCATTTTATAAAAAAGTCTTCAGAACTTTAAAAATTCACTTTGGCTTGCTAGAAGGTTTTAAACATAAACAAAACCGCAATGAAGCTTGTGAATGGTTGCATACAATAAAAACGTAGTTAATAGTAGTTAAAACCAAACAAATGTTCAATAGCCAGGTTACTGATGATATTGATAGATAGATAAATTAATGTTCGTTGGTGAACAATAACAACCAATACTCTAGCCATCTGTTAGTAAAGATAAAATAAAAATTATTTATTGTTAGTATTTCTTAATCTTTCTTACTATTTGTTATTAATTGTTAGTAACTGTTAGTAATTGTTAGTAAATAGGAGAATAATTTAAATGTTAGCATACCATATTGAATAAATAAATAAGTTAAAAGTGTTAAACATCTAATGAAAATTCAACTACGGAGCCAAATTAATAAACTTCAAAATCGTAAACGGCATTCCTTTTAATAAAATGAAAAAAACTGTACAAGTAAAACATAAAATGAAATTATTATATGTTATATATATAAATATGAATAATAAAACAATATAAATGTTTTAACATGAAATTATTATATGTTAATATATAAAAATATGAATAATAAAACAATATAAATATTTTAACATACAATAATAAATAATAGTTAAATTAAAAAATAAAAATTAATTAATAAATAATTGAATTCATGTTTTAAAAACCTCATCATCTTCGACCGCTATTACAGGCCTGCTCCGCTGCTCGTATTGATGCAGAGAAATGATTGCAATAAGAATAAAAATATATCATGGTTTAAACTTTTAACTTGTCATCTACAATGAATAAATTGCTTAATCCAAAATGAAAAATTTTATTAAATAATATTTTATGTAGTATTTCTGTTTATAAACAATAATTTTATATTTTTCATGGTTTATATTTCTTTGTTTTTTTTTGTTGCTTGATATTTTGGTTGTTTGCTTGTTCGTTCGTTCGTTCGTTCGTTCGTTCGTTGGTGTTTGTTTGTTTATTGTTGAGGGGTGGTTAGTTTTGTTTTCATTGCTATCAGATGATGAAATTGATTCTATAAATAACTATGATAAATAATTAATTATATATATATATATATATATATATATATATATATATATACATACGTACGTACATACATACGTACATACATACATACATACATACATACATACATACATACATACATACATACATACTTACATACATACATACATACATACATACATACAAACATACATACATACATACATACATACATACATACATACATACATACATACATACATACATACATACATACATACATACATACATACATACATACATACATACATACACACACACACTCATACGCTCGCTCAGCTGGTGTCGGCTTTCACATTTTTAGTATTTCGCTAATTTTTAGTAATATTTCTGGTTTTTAAGGTTTTTGTTGCAATAATTTCGGTTTTTTTTGGTGTGGTTTTTGTTGGTTGTCGCTTTTTTGCCCTTTTTCGGATTAGGTTCCCGCCGTTCGGTTGGTTTTTTAACTTTTGTGGTCTCAGGTTTTTAATTTTAGCTTTAACATACTTTAACAACAGCTGTGGGCCTTTACAGCTGCACCGTACAATGCTCATTAATATTCATTTTTGTTTTCTCTGTTTCATTCCCAGTTTTTCTTTTAATTTTTAAATTTATTTAAAATTAAACCTTTTTATTTTCACCACAATTTTATTTATTTTATTTTATCACTGTTCACACGGTTTTATCTACTCGCTTTTGATTTTATTTCGTTGACGTAATGGCACCGGTCCTATACCAATGCACGGTTTGTTTAAATCATTATAAAATAAAACCGGACGGTAAACTATATCGACATGGAGGCAAAGTGAAGGGCCAGGAATGCCCTGGTTCGTTCAAGGCAGCCGACCAGCCTCCGGCTGGTTCATCTGCCTCCGCGCGATCGCCGCTTACCGCTGCACCTGTCATCAACCCTCATGTTGCTACACGCGGTTCTTCGGCATCGGTCTCGGAGAGTCCCTCCCAAGTGGATTTTTTTCATGTTTTTGACAGGCTGACGGTCGTTTTGAGGACTGCCCATCTGTATGATCACGTTCCCAAACCGTGCAGAGACAAGGTATCTAAAGCATTGTCGGCTTTATTGACGGCCGTTTGCGATGATCCCTGCGACGCGACCCATTGGTGCAGGCTCCAATGTTTTTTCGCATTTGTTTTGTTCAAGCCAACCAGGGGCGGTCGCAGGACTAATCAAGCCAATTACGTTATTAAACGGTTGGCCGAATTCAGTTCGACCGAGGTCGAGTTTATTGTGGCAAGCTTCAACACTGACCACAACACCAAACCGCGTAAGCACAATCCAAACAGTTGGATTAGTGCAGTAACCACTCGGATTGAACAGGGCAGTCTCTCGGCGGCCGTCAGACTTGCTTGTTCGCCCGCAGGCCTGGCGGAGAGCTCGCCTGAGACACTCGCTAAACTCAAAGCTATTCATCCCAGTGCTCCATTGAACAGGCGAGCTTTCCCCGCGCAGGAGCCGTCCAATGGTCGCGTTTCACCAGCCCAGGTGTTGACGGCTTTAAAGTCGTTTAATAATGGTTCATCGGGAGGCCTTGATGGCTTGAGGCCTCAGCACATAAAGGATTTACTTTCCGGTCCGACGCCCACCGATGAATTGTTAAATAACCTCACCCGGTTTGTAAATTTGTTGTTATCTGGGGTCTGCCCTCCCGCGGTTAGCCGTTTCTTCTTTGGGGGCCGTCTGGTGGCTTTAAACAAAAAAGATGGAGGGATCAGACCCATCGCGGTGGGGAATTTCTGGAGGAGGCTGGCCAGTAAGTGCGCTCTGGCGCTAGTGTTGGAACAGGTCAAAGCCAAACTCTATCCTATCCAATTGGGCGTCGGCGTGAAAGGTGGTGCTGAGGCGGCCGTCCACGCCGTACGTGAACTGATTTCAACACTTCCAAAACAGTGGGGATTCTTGAAGATTGATTTCAAGAACGCTTTCAACACCCTGAGAAGAGACTCAATGTTAGAGGCAGTTAAGCAGCACTGTCCTCAAATTTATAATTTTTGTCATTCCGCATATGGCCGAGTCTCTTCTCTCGGTTACGACGCCTGGGTGGTTGAATCGTGCGAGGGCGTACAGCAAGGCGACCCTTTGGGACCGATGCTTTTTGCTCTAACCCTTCACCCGCTGTTGACGAAGTCATCCTCGGCGTTTGTTTGTGGCTACCTGGACGATGTCAGCTTGGCCGCAGAGGGCAACATCTTAGCGGACGACTTCCTGTCGCTGAGGGTCGGCGCTTCCATCATTGGTCTTGAATTAAACACAAACAAGTGTGAACTACTTGTAAATGACACGTTTCAAATGCCACACGTGCTGGCTAATATTCCCACAGTGCCTCATTCATCATTAAATTTTTTAGGCACTCCAATGATGGCCGGCGATCATCAGGACAGGTTTTTTAATAAAATACTTTTTGAGCTAAGATTTGCCCTCGAACGTGTCTCTCTTCTCCCGCTCCACGACGCGCTGACAATCATCCGCGGCGCCCTCAGTTTGCCGAAATTGATGTATTTTTTGCGCACATCCAACTTTGTTAATGCGGCCATTTTGGGCGAATTTGAGGGTGCTCTGCGGGTGGCCCTCTCAGCAATATGTAACGTCGATATTACCGACAAGGGTTGGTCTCAGGCTCAGCTGCCGGTACGATTTGGGGGACTGGGGTTACTAAGCGTGGTTCAGCTTGCACCAATTGTTTATAAATCTTCCGCATCTGCCACGCTTGACCTACAGTCTGCCCTTCTTCGGCAATTTAGTAGCCTGCACTGTACCCCACCGACTCCAATCCAACCAACAGACCTTTCCCAGGGCAACATTTTGGAGGAAGCATATAAACGCACATTCAAAGAGTTGCTTTCCTCAAGCCCTGACTCGGCGACCTCAGCTCGCTTGCTGGCAGTTTCCAGCGAGGCGAGTTGCGGCTGGCTGAGATCTTTGCCCAATACGTCGGTGGGTACCAGATTGGACGACGAAACGGTCAGGACAGCCATTGGCTTCCGTCTGGGGTTGGCCGTTCAGAGTCGATACACATGCAGGTGCGGCGCGGAGGCGGATGAACTTGGCCATCATGGTCTTGTTTGTCGTTTGGGCGGAGGTCGCCAGCAGCGACATTCAG